ATATCACGCAAAAACATCGTTAAATTGCATTCGATAGCGGTCAAAATGGATATTTTCGTTGAAATATGTTGCCTGAAACTTTTCGCAATTACAATACTTTCTTTTTACTTCGTATAAGGAAGCAGAAAGTATGGCGAAGCATTATTAGTGAATCTGGCTGTAGCATATCAGCCTAGATACCTTAATCAATGATTTCTAAAATAAGGTGATTGAGATGTGATGCTAAGTGCGTATGGGCTGTTCAATAAATATAACTCATTTATGTTATTTTATGTTATTTTCACATACGCTGATACTGTTGAATAAAATGTTATGTAACTCATTCAAAGAGGTGTAGAGCATTGTGTGTAATCAAAACAAATGAAAATATAAGCCTGGCAAGAAGTCTGGGGACATCAGATGATAGTTCGCTGTCTCTGATTTAGAAGGCTTGAGAAAAGGCATGCAACAAAAAAGATTAAAATTAAATTTTTTGAATGAAAACGCAGCCTTAAAATTTGACCATTATCTGCTTCAACAACTGCACTTAAAACATTATCCTGCGTCTCATTTAGGATAAAAAACTGTTTGCAACAACTTGCGTCGTAAGAAAGGCGCGATTTTTTCCGTTTCTTAACCAATCCACTGTTTCTATTGAAACTTATCTGAACAGGGTTATTATGAAGTAAAATGTATCCTTCAAAACAGAAATGGAATTTAACTAATTTAATGTAACTATAACAAGAAACATATAGTTATGTACTTTCAACAGAATTTATTAGCAAAATAACAAAAGTTTACGAACTGTATCTAGATCTGCATAGTAATCCAGGAAGGTTACATTCATATGAGCCATACTGGGTAGAATCTGCACTAAATATAATCGACATTGCGTAGGATCGATATGGTAAAGAATCGACAATGGTACATGACTAACATCGGCATACGATTTTCACCAGTTACTGGCTTGCCATCGACATAATAAAATAGAAATTTTTTGATAGCAATATCAGTGGCAGGATTAATGCATATTTGTCACAGGCATACGATCGACAGTACGTAGTGTCGATATCAGCGTAGCATCGACAAAGCGTAGGAATGAGGGCAATGCTGTAGCCAAGGATTATATAGAGCAGTACATAATCAGAGAGAAAAAATTTTATTAAATTATTATTTTTAGGATACTGCGTAAGATCGACACCGGTGTAAAAACCGATACGAGCATAGACTCGAAACTAGTTTTCGAAGTGCCTTTTGTGTATCCTGTGCTGGCAGAGAGGCTGTCGGTTCTATGTTTCATGGATTCGCACTTACGTATTAACTATTAGTTATTAGACATGCATATTTACCATGTTTTCAGGTTAGTCACCATCTCAATCAGGTTCCTCTGGCATTTTTCTGCTCTGAAATGAATCACGTGAATACTTATGCTCAAATTTTCTATGCACCTATCATCTTCATCTATTCAAAAGGAAAACAACAGTAGAGTTAATCACATTATACTCACCTAATGTCATTTTTTAATTACTTTAATCTACCATGCTTATAAAAACATAATCCAGGCGTAATTCGAAGTGGCTGGCTCTCTATATCACGTGACATAGTGGAAAAATTACACATGAGTGTTATTTGTTTCCAAACTTGCATGTGGTAACAATTTCAAGCAATAGTGCTTTGTCCTTTTGAGTTTGGACTAAGCAATTTTTGTTTGATATTTATGTACGTACCTTCATATACAACGATAATAATAAAATTCATAGGAAATATGCCCTCCTGTAGCTGAAATGACCTCTAAAATGCGCTTACTAGTTTGTGCAATTTTTTTTCCCGTTCTTTTGTCGTACAATCCATTTTGTTAAGATATTCCGTGAGAATGGGCCACAAATCTTCGATCCGATTTGAGTGATGCGAATTTCCAGGCCAGTCCAGCAAAATAATTTTATTTTCCAACATGGGCTTTCTGACATAGTGGGAATTGTGACATAAAGCCGAGTCATGTTGATATGTCCCTGCAAAGGTTTTCAAGAATGGCACAATTGTACGTTTTGAAATTTCTATATGCTTCGATGATTTCATCATTCTATCAACAAGAACTAGAGTTTCAGTGTAATCTGCAGTGAAAAAATCCACAAACATTTGTTTCTGAGTGTATTTTACGGTTCATCTAATATGTTGAGTTTTATTGATTCACCCTTGCGTCGTAAAACAATGTTCATGGTTACACGTCTAACAATGTTAGATAATGTAACCATGAACGAATAAACGAGTATCATCGCCAAAAATACCTTTCTCTAGTCATTTGTGGTCCAAGATTTGTATATTTTAGGCCCACAATAATCTCTTTGCTTTATCTGACGTGTTTTTTAATCGTCTTCTTCACCTTCCGACCAGTACTGAGAAGATTACGCTGCACGTTTGAAGGTTCAATATCAACAACAGATAACAGATCTCTTTTAAGATCTTCGCTAATTGTGTTGTATTAATAACGCCGTTTCGGAGCCAAAATCAATCAGTCTTTGGAAGTTTTTTCCATGGATATGTAATTTATTAAAGTACGATAACTTCTGATATTTCTTTAGGCGTTACATCCATTTTTATTACACTAAAGCGAAACCAAAACATTGAAAAGTATACAAAGCTAACTCCCTCTTCTGGTAGAAACAGGATCAAAAATCTAGCATTAATCCAAATTTATTGTCTAAGCCAGTTCCATGCAATCAAAAGAAAACATCAAAATGCCATTAAGGCAGATAAAACTGCTTTGAGGGACCTGCTGACGCCAGCTGGTAAACAGCTTACAATTTTGTGAAAAAAATCGCTTTGTCCGAATTCATTCGCACTCTGTCCATCTATCTGGTCAACTTGCTTCAACTTAGCTTGTGTTGTCTTAGACGAACGAAGTGATGAGATGGATGAGGAATGAAATGACCTTGTATGTTTAAATGACGCAGAATTCTTAACGAAAGGTGTAAAAAAGAACGCTAAAGCATCCTATTTCAGATGGCAGACAATACTTGCATACGTCTTTGTAATCCAATGATGCACCAGCCTTTCCTTTATCACCATATAACCCTAAACATGGCTGCTCATTAAAGGACGAGCTTTAGTCAAACCATTTTTTCTGCCACTGAAGTCAAATAGAGCCTCGCTGTCGAAAGCACTTTTGCAGTTAAAATTATATAAACTGTAGTTTGTCTTCGAGCACGGTTATAAATAATAATTATTATTATTTTAATACATAGTATCAGGTTCAATGCTCCTTCTAACCTTCTTCTGGAACATACAAGGACCTGACTCGGAACGGAGAGCTACTAAGCTAGTCACTAATTGGTAAATAACAGGATACAGACGAAGGGGAACAAACCTTATTTTCTCTAATACAATAACTTCGACTTCGGATACATGACCTCCAATCCTGGTCTACTTAAAAAAGTATAAAATAAACTAACTCTAATTGAACTTAGATAATACGGTAAGATTGGCCTATAAAACATGAAGAGTTGTAGACAGAGACGTGAACACTCAATACGTTAATTTATCAAGGATTAAAACCTCTGGCCGGAAGGCAAATAGCAACTGCGTAACTTTAGGTACGGCTGCTTAGACTCACGCTTCCGCCTCTCTCTTGGCAAAAGGCCACACTTAAGACTTGGCGTTCGCCAGACAAACTGTGCATAAAAACTTCACGCTTTAATTCTGGCGGAAGTAGAAAATAAAGTGATAGTAAATTTAAAATAAAGAAGTTATAAAACTTAGATCATTACAATAGTATGAAAACAGTTACCAAATTTCCTCGAGTATTTCCCCCTTTTATAACCAATTTTCCAAAAAGAAGAAGAGAAACTTATGCGAACAGTATAATTTCCCAAGAACGCAGTTAAAGTAAGAACATACCAAATGGCAAATAGTTATGTATAAACTATTGGTGACTATCACAAAATTTTTTTTAAAGGAAACTATATTCCATTAGGACTTCATAGTAATATTAAAATTACAATATCTGACGAAAATGACATGTGCTGCTTACTTACATTGTAAAGACCCAGGGAAACCTCACGTTAATGAGAACTGACCGCAGTTTGGAAGAGGGAGATTAGAGAAACGATGGAGAAGGACCGCACAAAATGCCCGGATTTAAAGAGCTCGTCCACATCAGCAGTAATTAAGACTACAATGAGCTGGAACGTAAGTAACAGAAGTAAGGTGAAATCACATGTTTATAAAACTTCTCAAGTGTGTGAACACGGGCCACATCTGAGTAGCTTAACTATGAATCTGCACAAAACACAAATAGATGCAAGGAAAAATGAAATGAATGAAATGCCAATACAAAAAGTGCAAATGCAAACTGAGTATACTCAATGAAAATAAAAATAATCAAGAGAATACAATTTACCAATAAACTAGCCCTTGCAGGAAAAAACTATATATAATAGAGAAGGGGAAAGCTTTGAGAAATATTTTGTAAATTTTCAGAACCTAGCGCGGAAATGCTAGGGAGAGGGAAATATGTGAAGAAGTACGGTATTTTAAGTTCAATTGTAAAACATTTATATTCTTTTATTTAACTAATAATTGCTGATATAGCTTTGGATATGTAGAACGTATCCTTGTTTACATTATAGAATCCAATATCTTTGTAAAATGAGGCTGCCTGTACGTATATATTTATGTACGTACAGTACGTGAAATTACATACTTTTTAATATCTAAACATATATGTACAGGTAATAAATGTTACGAATAAATTGAAATTGTGTGTATATCCGAAATGAAAGCTGGAAATTTAAAATATGTGATGCCATTCATTTTTAGCAAAATATTTTTAAATATTGACATAATACATATGAATGTGCTTAAATAATATTGCACAATTTACCACCAGTTCAGTTCAGTGTGTGTAAATTTTCTGAGATATTTGAAGTTATCTTATATGTAAAGGAATTTGCCTTTTGCTCAAAAAACCTAAATGTTTTAAATTTTACAAACATTAATATGTTGTTCTCTTTCTCTTTAACCAGCTTTTGATCAATTCCTCAAAAATAGAAGATGAACCCAGATACAAATATAGAGGAATGCTTATAGATACCGCTAGACATTTTCAACCAATCAAAACCTTGAAAAAGAATTTGGTAAGTATAATTAGTCAAAGTTACTTGGTATGTTATTTTAATTGGTTCTCTTCTGAGCTGTTTTTAAAATGAAAACGATTGATTTTTATTAATTTTTATTAATTTCTATAACTAAATAAATATTACCAAACAAAAACGTCCGTGTCCAGGACGTATATCAAGTTAGACGTATATCAGAGCGGGCGTATACAGAAGTATTACTGTATATTATTTCACTTAATCTTGAGAAAACAAAATTGACAACAGTATCGAAACGAAAGTATTATTATACCGCCCGCTGTTTGGCTATTCTCTGTGCTTGCACGGTCTTCATTTCAATAAGCTTGAGACCCATTTGAAATGATCAGATCAAATTTTTGTCATCAAAAAATAGAAATTTATGAAGATGCGAAAATATAGTTTTTTTTACCAAAAGAGAACCTGCTCATGCCCTAATATCAGGAGGATGTTAAACTTCTTTTTAATTTCGTAAACTTGACATTTGAGTTAAAATTCAAACATCTAGAGATTAATCTTTTTAGACATGAATCTCCAATTGTGTCATTCAAACTTGAATTTGCTCATGTGTTAATGTTAGTGGATACATTTAAATTGCTATTCAAATGTCTAGAAACTGTTGCATCTGAGCATGAATCTTAAATTGCCCATTATCTTATAGCTAACAGCTTATTCTATGTGCTAAGCACAACGTATATGCCTCTTTGTCCTTGAAAATAGATACGAGAACACCAAGGGAGACTTTTTAATGATCTTTGTATTCCAACCTTTATAATACTTAAAGCTGCACACTCAGAACTTCCTTTATTAAACTGATGTGTTTTCCACTGCCCTTGAAAACACCAAATTTCACACATTTCTCTTCCTTGTTTCGCGCGAGACTTTTTCTGATCATAAAGAATTTCTCAGTAGGAATGTCATTTCACTTCTTAGTGGTAATGGCGTCACGCAGTTTTAAATAGTTTGCAGAATAAAGTTAGAAATTTTTAAAAAAATTTGAAAGCTTTCAGATTTTATATTACACCCAAAGGGGCTTTTTTTCATTTACTACCATATACACGTTTCAAGGACGTTTGAACTAACGCCCCTTTGGGCTAAAAATGTTTAAAAAAAGCATATCTTTAGAATTTCCGATAGACAGTCTCCGCGCCTGGAGATAAAATTATTTTATTCCGCACAGTGTGTTGCTACTGCTTGCATTGAAATCGTTGAATTTCTTAATCAAAAATTCTTTAAAGTTTAAAAATATGAAATAAAGCAAATTCCAAATTTAAGATTTAGGCTTCCAGGTGCCCGTCGTCGGGTGGAGTACTATGGCATTCAAAATTTGGTGGCTCTTTTTTAGGTATCGTTGTTTTTTCACAGTGGGAGAAATAGACATACGTTCATGCAGATTCTTCGTTATTTAATTTCTTAAAGTATAATACTTGGTGGCAACAATCTTAAAAATGATGCTGCCGTTTATAGTGATTAGACGTAAAATGCTGTTTCGAGACTAATAGCCCTTCTGGGCTAACGCCACTTTGGGCTGAAAAGAAAAGAAAATATGTATGATTCTTATGTTAATTAAACAATTATTACAATTTTGATCAATTTTGATCTTTACTTCTTTATTCCGTATTCCTCATCAGAATGAATGCAAATTAGTTTTAAGTGTATTTAAACTGAGAGATTTGGATCTTAGATAGAGAGAGAACTTACTTCACTCGTGTAACTAGTTAGGTCTTGCCATTTCCATCTGAATGTAATTATCTCGAATTTGCATTCTCTCCCAATCGATTGTTTATAAGCTTACACGCCGGCAATGTTAGTTGAGCCATTTTGTAGTTTACTTTATTGCCTTAGTCTTAGACTACTTTTATTAACGTTAAAATCGAAGTACTTTTATTGATTAATTTACATTCCCAGAAATAGTAGTTTATTCGTAGCCCATGTCGTACCAATTATGTTAACATTTCAGTTTATAAAAAGATTGTTTAGATTTTTTCAAATCTTTGTCTTACTATTTGAGAATATGAGACATAGCGATATCTCGCTACTTATCTCCGGCCTCCTTAGCATGCCTTTTTGGTGTAGTGGTCAGCACGCTCAGCGCATATGCGAAAAGTCCGTGGTTCAAGTCCAGCGAGGGCATTGCTCATTTATCATATATCCTGCTTCGACATAACCTAATGTCTCTACAGTGGCGCCCGAACTAAAAAAGTTGGGGAATGATGATACTCCACCACCAGGATTTGGCGACTGGGTCCTCTAATCCCCAATTGCCCTTTAAAAGGGAATGTATATAAGGTATTTCTCCCACCTTCTTAACATGCCTTTGTGGTGTATTGGGCAGCACACTCGGCGCGTATTCGAGAGGTTCGTGGTTCGAGCACCTGCGAGGGTATTGCTCATTTTCCATGCATCCTTCTTCGAAATACCTAATGTCTCTACACTGTTAGGACTCAAAACCAAGTGTAGCTCAAATACAATCTTCCAAAGACAATCTGTATTATGCATTTGTTCCCGTATACTTTTAAATTTTTAAAAAGAATTCTTAAACCTGTTTTAGAAAATTCTTAAAATAACTTATCGGGAAGAGCGAAAAATATCAGGCCACTTACTACTGGACATTATCTGACTTTCATTCGAATTTATCCCAAGTTTTCTTTTAATGTATAATTGTATTTTTCACTGTGTTACAAATTAGAGAGATAAGCTTGCTATATCGATTGTGAAAGATCACACATAGGAACGATAATTTTACCAAAAATATTAAATTTTTCAACTCGTAGAAGATGCGGAATGATCTAATAGCTGAAATTAAATTACTGTGAAATATAAATAATTAAATAAAAATTATTTAAAATTAGCCAAAACAAACCTTATTTTGGTGAAGGTTTTGAATTTATAAGGTAGTTTCTCCCTCCTTTCCGCATGCTTCTTGTGTATTTGAAGCATACTCGACGCGTGTTCGAGAGGTCTAGGGTTCGAGTCCCGGCGAGGGACTCGAACCCTAGACATCTTGGAAAAAAAAAAAACCTAAACTCTGTCTATTTCGAAATTTATCAGGAAAATGCCTCTTCATTAGGAGTAAAAACGAAATTCTGTCGAATAGGAGGAGCAACGAAGATATTTATATCGAAAGCAATGGACGAAGGAAAGAAAACACGAACTTAGAGCCATATGCCGAGAAAAATAATAATAAAATGAAATTAAGGTTATAGAATTCTGAAGTTACGAAGAAGATTTAGATTGGAATTAGTGCTATTAAATGAAGAAGATAAATTTTTATAACTGTGAAAAGTTTCAAGGAGCTCTAATTCACCATCTGTAAAAGTTTTTATAATTAATTTTCGCAGAACCAGATGTCAAAATTAAGATACTTGCCCAGCAATGATTAACTATCTAAGATTCGTTTATTTCTTCATATCACATAAAAGATTCGTGGTCCTCGAATCAAACTTTAAACGTTCTATTACTTTGGATATTACATGGCATATGACACTGACACGACACCCTATAAATTCTCAAAGAATTAAAGTCAGAATTCGAATCTTTAAAGAACAACATGATTTTAATGATATTTGAGAAAATTAACTTATGGAAAATCTGTAAAATTTTGCTGCTGATAGATGACAGAAGGATGAAACGGAATGTCAGGAAAGTTATTAATGTTATTTCTAACAGCAAGATGTCTGATTTCAAGAAATCTTCTTCCAATCTTATATCTGCCCATTATCTTAGAAATGACAGCTTATTGTATGTGCTAAGCAGAACATATATGACTCTTTGTCCCCGAAGAGAACAGATGCCTTCATGGAGAATTTTCTAAGACAAACTGGTTCATATCTACGTTAACACATGATAAAAACCACGAAAAGGCCCATGCAGCCAGCCCGTTGGCCTGGAATCCAACCTAGGTCAAATTACTAGCGCTCAGTGACTTAACCGCTTGGCAGCTGTTGGATCCAACAAGTACTAGAACTGAGAGCATTACCCATAGCTAATTCTTTATTCAGTTATATTGAAAATCGACACCAAAATAAGGTAGCTCTTTGCTTATATTTAAATTTTGCGTTGACATGATTTTCTTCCTGTTTAAGAGAGATTTATATTTTTCACTTTAAAAACAGCTTTAGCTAATTAATTGTGATTTATTGTAACCTATCTCTGGCCTTTTCATTTATTAACCTGTATTTTTTAATTATTATATTCGGAACACTGTGAGATTCTGATGTTCAGTTGTCAAACCTCACTGTTATAAACAGAATTCTAAGAAAACACATAATTTTAATTACAACAGAAGTTTTCGACGCCTTTATAAAGCAAATAAGACAGATAAGGTGTTATTTGCTTCTGCTATAATATTATTTTAATAGACTTTACAATTCAAATTAAAAAAAAAAGAAAAGTTCTTTGTGGTAATATTATCGAGTAAACTGAAGATTTTGAGAACGTTACCATTCTTGTTAATTGTTAGTGAAATCTAATTATAAAATAAGACTGGCAATATTATGCTGCCAAGCATTGGCAAAGAGGATTAAACAACTGAACACTGGTAATTCAATCAGGTTTGAAATTTCGACCAATAGGCTGGCTGTGAAGTGCATTCGTGGTCTTCCGCATGTTTAATAACGTAAATGTAAGCTTATTCCCATTACAAAGTCCCCCGTGAAGATATCTTCCCCTTCAGACAGTTAGACATCGTGTGCTTTGCACTATTTTAAATACACTCATGTCCATAAATTAAGGATAATTGAGTCACACGGAAATCGAACTCTAAAATAAATATATCACCTTTAAAATCACTACACACATCTCAAGAATCATATGCAATTTAGAAGCAACCAGATGCACGATGGTACTCCAAGACGATAATGTAAGAAGTGATATTACAAACATCAAAGAAGTAAAATGTTCGCATGGACTTTTAAGCATTTTAGTGCAATAACGAAAGGATGCAACGGAGATTTTTAATTTTTACGTGGTAGATTATCGCCGTCTGGAATGTGGGCGTACCAACGGAATATCAGACGAACTTGGAATGCCCCGAGTGTCATCTCAGGCTTGGCACGATTCCCAGATGATGGTGATGGAGTATACGTTACAGCACAGGTCGCCCGAGTTACAACGCCCAATGACGCCCGTATTTGAGTTACTGCAAAACAAACAGGCGGAGCACAGCTCAACCTGCTCTCAGCTATTTTCATCACTGGTACGACAATTTCAAGGCAGACCGTGTACAGCGCTTAGGGCGATGGTTTATAGCCGCAGACTGTAGATGCGTTCCATTACTGAACTCACTGTCGCCTGCGGTTCCGGATAGAGAGCATGCTGTGGAAACCGCAACAGTGGGCTTGTGTGATGTTTCCGACGATCCAGGTTTAGCTTGCAGTCTGATTCTCGCCGGACTTTCATTGAGATCTCCATGTCCGTTACCAACAAGAAAACATTATGAACGACACCGGGTAGGTGCCGGGAGTGCTCGTTTGGGTGGAATTATTCTGGGTTCAGACCACTGACTGCATGTTAAATTGGAACATGACACCAATCTATCGGGACGTCATTCTGGAACAACATGTCCGTTTGTTTCGGGGCGCCATGGGCGCACCAATTTGTTTTATGATGACAACGCCCGTCTCACGTGCAAACATCGTAAGCGAATGCCTTAATTTGGATGTGATATGCACCATATGGGAACGGGGCCAGCAAGAACTGTTCGGCCAGGCTACGTGCGACGACAGGTGCATTGTCGTCCATAAAAAGGGAGCTGCGGACCCATAGCGCAAAAAAGACGCAACATGGAAGCAGAATCTGTTACATAAAGGGTCCCGTGACTGAACTGCTCGCAGATGTGAAGTCGAGACTACCAAGCGATGCCCCCAACGAGAAACCGCACTCCTACCGTCCCTTTCAAGAGTTCGGAGGATGATTGGGCTTCCCGCCTCTCAATGAGTATGCGATGGAAACGCTACTCAGACTGAATTGCTCTATCTTCAGAGTTCGTCCCCATTCATTGTCTCCAATCCGGGATCCGGCACCACAGGAGACGCCTTCTCCGTGGGAGTCGTTTTTAGAGGTACACACCTACGGGCGCGTGCAAACAGGCATACCTGCAGTCTTCTGGCCCGGTAAAAAACGCGATATCGGTCGCCAGTCACCTGTGTGTGTTGTCTAGCGATTTTTTCCGTCTGCCCCTGTTCTCTGGCCTGTAAGGCAATTACCGGTATCTGCGGGTGTGGTTCCACGTGGAACGACCACTACTAAACCCCCGGATAGTGTCCTGTTTTAAATTGTCTCCAAAGTCGTGAAAACGCTGCTGTGAGCAATCCGAACTGCAGCCACATTGTCACACTGCGGCTTCCTCCCCTTCCCAATGATTCGACTCGGGTAAAAGCACCCAGATGTCGTCTAACGATTGATTATTCGCCATTTCGCGCTGAGGCAGAATCGGTGTGATTTTATGCTATACGGGTGCAAACTGCCGAAATACTGATCTTACACAGACTACTCAGACTCTACTGCTTTATAAAGGACTCCCCATCGTCTACCTGCCTCTGCGCATGTGCTACCGTACGTCACCTTACTTAATCTCCTGATTGGTCTTTCTGTTCGCTCTGCCTCTTCGTTCAGCTGATATGCTAATTTTTCGACTTCGTCCTTAATTTTTGCACACCAGTATATATCTCTAATGAAATTCGAGGAAATAATTCTAAATGAAATGCAGCAAAAAATGTGTATAATTTAATAGGACGTACAAGACAGTCATGTGATGTCCACATCAGACATTTTATAATGCGAGGAGCATACAAATATAAATACAAACATGTTCTTTAGTATTTAATAATACAGAAGACAACGTTTGTGCAGAGATATGAAGCATAAATTCATATATACTGGCACTTTTATGAACCAATTAAATTTCACTGCTTAAAATAAATACTGATATGGATATAAAAAATTATAAATTCAAGTAATTTCTACATGTGTTAGGAGAAAAATAGCCAGTTATAAGAACATGGTATTTATTGGAAAGCCAGTTGTTATCACTTCTTTGCCTTTTCACGTTTTTCGTTCGACACATTTGGCTTTGACGCTCGTAATGTCTAACTTACTTAATCTTCCAATTTTAAAATTATATTATATTATTAAATCTCTATCCACAGTTTTGTTTCAATGTATGCATCCACTTGGCTCGGCAAATTTTCAGTTGTAAGAATTATTGCAGCATTAAGGATTTTACTTTCCTATGCGAAGTAAAAGAAGTATTGTAATCACGAAAAATTTCGACTTTCAGATTTCAAAGGAAATATCGATTTTCACATTTTTATCTTTCATATTTAGCATTACGGAATGCTAAATTATCGAGTTTGTTCTAATGTATTTTTTGCGCGTATACTTTGTTGCAGAAGCATTTGTAAATAGTTAAAAATTCTCTCTTTTTCCAGGATGCCATGGCGTATAATAAATTCAACACGTTCCACTGGCACATCATCGATGACCAGTCTTTCCCCTTAGAAAGCAAAATATATCCTAATCTGACAGAACTGGTAAGTATTGAATCTTCCGCTTTTTAAGTTTGTTATTGCTTTGGCTATACTTTGAAATTCATTCGCTGTCATTATAATATAATCGACCACATTGTTTTCGTTAATTTAAACCACTTCATTTTACATGTCCTTGAAAGGATTTTAAATTTTACACTAACGTTTTATTTTATTTTAAAACTTAGCTATCCTCTCTTATTTTCCATTTTCGGTCAGAATAAACGCTAACAGATTTGGTTAGGCTGTAAGGGTTATGTTAATTTTATTAACAGTTAAATTTTAAGTTCCTTTCCTGCCAATTCTTAACTTCAACTTACTATTCCGGCAGGAACGTAGTTTAGAATCCACGTTGGATAATAATGAGGAAAAGCAGTAAGTATTTAATCGCGAAGGTTTTCGGCCTTAGAGAGAGAGGAGAGAGATACCAGGTAGTTGGACTGCACGCCGTCGCCTTTTTAGCCTACTCTTGTAAGCTATTATTACGTTCGGCCGTGCTTTAGACCCTGATAGTTCGCAAGTTATTAACGTTAAGGGGCCAACTCTGTTAGAATCTTGATAGCTTCGGCTATACCTCTTTAGTTTAGTATTATTCTTAGTCCCTTAAGTTCAAAGCCCAAGTGTCGGCTTTACACTCCAAAACGGAGTTTTGTTCAACTTTAGTTGGGATAATAAAGGTCTAGTTTACCCTTCTATCTTGTTGTTTCCTGTCACACGAACTCAAGCGATTATTCGCTTATCAGTTCTTAAGAGTCTTCACTTACAACAGTAACTCAGCATTACACTGTGAGGAATCCTACAATGTAAATGAGCTTGCAAACTGTTGAGTATTTAGATATAGTTTTTAGCCAAAAGAGAGAGAGAGAGTTAGAGAGAGGCTTCTCGCTGCCTTACCAAGCGCGTGCTTTACAGTCAGTTCCTGTCTGCCTTTCAGGCTAGAACTTAGTTCTCGCTGTTACTTGAAGACGTATTGTAGTTTCCTGCATTCTGCTCACTACATACGTGGAGTTCAAAGGCCAATCTTCGCGTTACTAGTCTTTGTAAAGCATCTAAGTTTAGTTCTTATTTAGTTAAGTTAGTTTTACTTCTTATTTTTTACGTTTTAGACCATAAGTGCTGGTTTTTGTATCCCAAAGAGCGGGATCGGCTGTATGCTCTGAGAAATATAATGGGTATTTAACGCTTGTCATCTTTGTCGTATCTTCTACGCACACACGAGAATAGTTTCAGTAAGCTCCTTACTCCTGTTCAAGATTTGAAGGTGTTTCCAAAAGATTTGTTCAGTATATTAAATCTCCCGATGAAGGAATCACCTCTGAGTCTCCAGTTCTCTCTAACAGTGATATCGTAATATTAGAAAAAATGTCATCTCATTACAAAAATATTATTTAGTGAAGTCTATGTCGCTTTGGAAACATACAATGTTAGAAAAGAGCTATTGAAGAAAAGACTATAGAAGAAGGACTATTGAAGAATTATCTTCCCTTCTTCTGAAACAAAGCAGAAATCAGAAGAAGGGTGTATAAGCCCCTTTTACTCAAACATAAAATTAACAAATGACTCAACTTGGGTTACAGGACACCCAGCACTTCTGGCCTAACAGAATAACGCAAGAACTAATAATTTCAAGGTGTAGTAGATTAGCCTAACGGCTCACATTGTACTTGAACACGTAGGAAGAGCTCTGGTTTGCAGTAAACTGGTGAGACAAGAACTAGAACACTCAACGCCGCTAACAATCACAGCACAACATGGCCTAAAATAGGCACTTTTTAGTGCCCATTTTAGACACTGAAAAGATTCAAACACTTTCTAAAACTAACTTCCTTTTTCCACTATTGCCGTGTGTAGCTTGCAGAAAGTAAGCTGTGTACCTGCTGTCCTGAATTAATAAGTATACTGCAGGGCAGGTATAGCAAATGCATGAGTGTGTCCGGAGGATAGGATGCAAAGTGAAAACTAAAAACTAACTTCCTAAACTCTTGCTTAAATAGCACTTTATTCTACCTTAATCTGAATTCACTCTCACTCTCTCATTTACATTCTGGCACATAAAGCGTAGGTGAAAAGAGAGTAATAGGAAATTGCTAATTTAAAATGAATTATTAATTAAAAATAAGTAGATAAACTTCACAAAGTACTGTTAATAACCTTATTTAAACCCCCCAAAAAAATCAAATTCTGCTCTCTATTCACACTTTGTCTTCTTTGATTCCTTTTAGGACATGCTTCCGGGATTTAAATGTATCATTTTTAAAGAGGTTTCTTGTTTAATTACAGGCTGCGTACAGTCCAAAGCACGTATACACGCATAAAAATATCCGAGACATCATCCGGTATGCACGTTATCGAGGAATTCGAGTCATTCCCGAGTTGGATACGCCAGGACATACGCAGGCCTTAGGAAAAGCATTCCCTTGTAAGTACCAATATCTTTGTAAAAGGGGTATTCGTAATTAAATGTACATCATTATCATATATGCCACAATATTAATTCCATGATAAGTTTTCAGCTTCGTTTTTTATTTAATAGTTTTTAATCTGCTAATCTATAGCGATTATCATGTATTTGGTCTTGTACTAGTAATTTTATATCATGTATACATTATACCATGTATACATGATATAAAAGCATGATAAATGCTTAATATGCGATAAGTTTGGGGACGCAAGCCACTTAGCCGATGAATGTACGCTTACCCGGAATGCAAGATAGAAATATAGAAAGAATTTTAATGGAGATTTTAAAAGGAACTATTCAAATTTGAAAGATTTTGCAGAGACAATAATGAAAATTATAAACACGAACGAAGACAGAATTGGAATTCGGCAGTGAAACTTAAAATTTGGACTTTTTTTGCTTTTTTTTTTTTTTTTTTTTTTTTTTTTTTTTCTGGCCCGTCCATTTTTTTCACACGGCCTATGCGGGGTGCGTGGCTAGGAGAATCGGGGCTGTGCCCTTATAATAAAATAATAATCATCATGTATACTAATATATCATGTATTTATTCTGTAATATCATGCATTTACTTGGCCTATAAAAGTACTTAAACGGCCTTTATTTTTGCAATCATTTGTTGTAGTCATATGCTTCCAATTACGCAGTGGTTTTAGTGCGAAAAATATTCGTGTTTTCGCAGTGTCAAATTTAAATAAATACTAATAATTTTTAAATATAACGAAATTATTTTTAATGCTGTCTCGGTTACTATAATCAAATTCGGAAGTTTTTTATAATCTCTATGAAAAAATAAATTGTAAGAAATTGACTTCCATTACGGCAAACATTAACGAAATACTTTGTAGGGTTTATATTATTTAACTAACATTTATTTTAAGGTTAAGCTATTTTCCTTGTCAAGCCTTAGTTCCCCTAGAATTGCCAATGCCAGAGTATGTAAAGATCGTATACAGTAGAACGCGCAGAGTATTCAAAAGTTTTTAGCAGAAAGTTAAACTGAGTAAATAGAAGGGAAACGAGATTGTGAGGTGTGCTTTTGAATTGCGAGCGTGAGGTTGCTAGGTAGAATGTAAGACCGCGAGCTTTTCGGCTGTGTGCCTATTTCGCAGTTGTTGTTGAACTTTCAACTTTTCTTAATCAGTAAAGTTGCTGATCTCAACTGTCCTTAGAAGCGTTTAGGTTAGTTACGATTATGAGCCTCGTAGATAGTTGATTTCGTATCTTATTATCCTTGTCATTTATTTTTATTCTACTTTTCTATTTGTTTAACCGCCGGGTCGGCGTAGTTTTTGCGCGTCAAGTGAACGCAACTGTGATTTCTCAAAGGGAAATAAAAAGAGGATTTAAACCTTCTTACGAGTTTGTGTAATATAATTCATGGTAGCACTACTACTGTTGCTGACAAGTGGGGCCACGCAACATTAATTGGCGCCCGAACATACGAAACTGAGATGGCCGACGAAAACTGGCTGGAAGCTCCTGTACAACTCCAACAGCAAGAGAGGGCGAACAAGTGAGAAGGATATTTGGATATTTCGTCCTACTAACGATGACAGCCATTATCAAGCCAAACGCTCATTTCGACTGAAAAAAAATTCGGTTGGCGATATTTTAGAAGGTCTCGAAAATCACTTTCCAGTTATACCCTGTGCCTGAAAGACAAAAAGTTTGCCATTACACGTCTGCACTAAGGGACAGGAGCATTATGGGGAAGGGCTAGGGAACTTTTATTAGGTGTCATTCGGAGGCAACTATACCTTTAAATTTCAAAATCATTCTTAAAGGCCGTCCCCATAGTGCTGAAAAGGACGAGCCAAAGCTAGAAGCAGAACGTCTTATAGTGTTTTATCAACGTAATATAGAAGATTCGACGGACTTCATCCTGCGAAAAGTTAAGCTGACAGACATGCTGAGGGAAAAACCCGAGCGGAGATTATGAAACCAATATTTACAAAGATTGCTATCTGCTGTCCCAGATTACTAGAAATCCGAAATTCAAGCACTTGAAGGAACTCTTCGAGTTGGGGTCAAAGTTCCAAAACCGCAGCAGAATAGAGCCAAAATTCTTGAGCGGGCATCGTATTCTCAAGGCTCCGAGGCAATCCTCAAATCAACAGACCGGAGGAAACACAAATCGATCTTATGGGGAAGGAAAGAGTATCAAGCCAACTCGTGAAGTTTCGAAGGGTCGAGGCCCAAAAAGGAAATTTGAAAAACAACCGTCCGCGGCCAAGAAGAATGAGTTGAAAGGAAAGCTTTAAACCGAAGTAGAGGGGCCGTTAAAAGCGAGGGTCCAGACCCCGGAAGAGAGTTTTCGAAAAAAAAAACCTCAAGAAATACCTAAATTCGGTCGTGGCGTTAAAAAATCCACAATACCGGTTAACACGTCCTGTTGGATCAATTAAGTATACTCAGAAAATTTTTATCTTCTTTTGTGAGATAAGATTTTTTTTATGGTAAACGCGGCTCTTAACTGTAGTTTCAGAATTGTAGAAACTTTCAATAGTCGTTTGTGGACTTCCTTCCAAGTTTCCAAATTCTGGGCAGCGGCAAATGTAGGGTTTATATTATTTTAACTAAACATTATTCTAAGTTGTAAGCTACCGTTTCCTGTCAGCCTTTTTTTCCCCTAGACTTGCCAATGCCAGAGTATTGTAAATCGTAGTATAGTAGAACGAGCAGAGTTATTCAAAATTTTAGCAGAAGTAAATTGAGTAAGTAGGAGGGAAACGAGATTGTAAGTGTGCGTCTTGAACGCGAGGTTGAAGTTTTACTATGTAGAAAGTTAAGACCGCGCGTTTCGGCGCCTGTGTGCTATTTCGGCAGTTTGTTGAATCTTAAACTTCTTAATCAGTAAGTTGCTGAATCTAGCGTATCTTTAGAAACGCGGTTAAGTTAGTTAAGAGTATGAAGCCTAGTAGATAGTGATTCGTTTAATTTATTCATACTGTCATTATTGTAGTTGTAACTTTCTTATTTTGTTAACCGCAGGGGTGGCCCGTAGTTGTGCAGCGTCAAGTGAGGCAACTGTGATTTTTAATAGGGAAATAAAAAGGGATTTAAACCCTTCTTACGAGTTTGTGTAGTTTACAGTTCATAGCAGTCACTACTACTGTTGCTGACAAGTTGGGGCCACGCAACATTATAACTTAATTTGAAAATTTGCGGTTTTTGATGTCATTTTCAGCTTGCCTTGAGGGATCGGTTAATTAAGTTAAAATAATTCTAATTCGAAGAAATAAGTTTGAATCAAAATTTAATAGGCCGTACAAGGCATTCATGTGGTGTCCACATCAGATTTTTTCGCAGAAAGTAAACTTTGTGAAAAGCGATTTTGCGGTACCAGAAATGTATTAAGCACGTAACTCTCGCATTCGGCTAGGGTTTATTGTAGTATATATTGATAATTATGTGTCCGCTACACCAGAGGAAGAAGCAATATTAATTGTTATCAGAACAATGTTAAACGAACAAAGGAACAAACACATAGAGCTATAAATTTTAAAGAAAGCCTGACTGTTATACAACAGCTGATAACTCATCTGCTGCACACCTAAGCAGCATCTGTTCATAATCTGCACTTTTGATGAGTAATTAGCGACTCTTTCAGACTCAACAGGTTAATGATTTCCTTATCTGGCATATGGAGTAACCAACTAGATCCCGGATCCTGGATTCAAATCAATTGCGCACATTAGGTCCTCCTTAGAAAGGTAAACTACAACAAATCTATTCTCTCCATGGGCTCCGAAAGGGAAATATTTGCCTAGCTATAAGGGATGAGCAGATGCTATATTTACAGCTCAAGGGCATGCATGATGTATTTAGTACCTCTAATGTTACTTCTGCTTCTCGTTGAATCTGCCAGTCGGACAACCGGAAACATTACTTGCATTTAAAGTAATAGGTAAAGGTGTAAGAATAAAACTCCGCAGGAAATATGTTCTCGTTTACAAAGATTTTTACAAAATACCAATCTCGCATCAGTTTACGAGAGCTATTATGTGATGTATGCGCCCGGAAATATATTTGAAGATGAAAGTAAATATCTTATAAATGCTAAATAATCAAGACAGTCTTTAACCCTTTGCGGCATAGTGTGTCCGGTCTGGA